TATCATTTGTGGAGAATAGGATCAATAGACTTCATTATCGGTGAAGAATAGCCTCGGCCTGATTCCGTGATCTTTAGCCTCCAGAATCGAAAGAAAATGGCATTTCGGAAAAATCGCTCAAAATCTGTGATGGTACCCCTTTGCAATCTGCCAAAAATTGACCCGGAATAAATCCACCCAAATCGGTGCTTAATAGACTTAATCATCATTGAAGAATAGTTTTAGGCCGAATCAGTGATATGTAGTCTTCAAAATCCAAAGAAAATGGCCTGTCGACGCCCACAAAATTACGAAAATGCCATCCGAAAATAAATTGCCCCAGATCGTTGATTAATGTACATATCATTTGTGGAGAATAAGATCAATAGACTTCATTATCGGTGGAGAATAGCCTCGGCATGATTCCGTGATCTGCAGCCTCCATAATTGAAAGAAAATTGAATTTCGGAAAAATCGCCCAAAACCTGTGATGGTACCCTTGGCAATCTGCCAAAAATTGACCCGGAATAAATCCGCCCAAATCGGTTATTAATGGACTTAACCATCGTTGAAGAATAGTCTCAGGCCGAATCCGTGATCTGTAGCCTTCAAAATCCAAAGAAAATGGCATGTCGACGCCCGCAAAATTACGAAAATGCCATCCGAAAATAAATTGTCGCAAATCGTTGCTTAACGGACGTATCATTTGTGGAGAATAGGATCAATAGACTTCATTATTGGTGGAGAATAGCCTCGGCCTAATTCCGCGATCTGTAGCCTCCAGAATAGAAAGAAAATGGCATTTCGAAAAAATCGCCCAAAACCAGAGATGGTACCCCTTTGCAATCTGCCAAAAATTAACCCGGAATAAATCCACCCAAATCTGTGCTTAATGGACTTAATCATCATTGAAGAATAGTCTCAGGCCAAATCTGTGATCCGTAGTCTTCAAAATCCAAAGAAAATGGCCTGTCGACGCCCACAAAATTACGAAAATGCCATCCGAAAATAAATTGTCCCAAATCGTTGATTAATGGACTTATCATTTGTGGAGAATAGGATTAATAGACTTCATTATCGGTGGAGAATAGCCTCAGCCTGATTCCGTGATCTTTAGCCTCCAGAATCGAAAGAAAATGACATTTCGGAAAAATCGCTCAAAATCTGTGATGGGTACCCTTTGCAATCTGCCAAAAATTGACCCGGAATAAATCCACCCTAATCGGTGCTTAATGGACTTAATCATCATTGAAGAATAGTCTCAGGCCGAATCCATGATCTGTAGCCTTCAAAATCCAAAGAAAATGGCCTGTCGACGCCCACAAAATTACGAAAATGCCATCCGAAAATAAATTGTCCCAAATCGTTGATTAATGGACTTGTCATTTGTGGAGAATAGGATCAATAGACTTCATTATCGGTGGAGAATAGCCTCGGCATGATTCCGTGATCTGCAGCCTCCATAATTGAAAGAAAATTGCATTTCGGAAAAATCGCCCAAAACCTGTGATGGTACCCTTGGCAATCTGCCAAAAATTGATCCGGAATAAATCCGCCCAAATCGGTTATTAATGGACTTAACCATCGTTGAAGAATAGTCTCAGGCCGAATCTGTGATCTGTAGCCTTCAAAATGCAAAGAAAATGGCATGTCGACGCCCGCAAAATTACTAAAATGTCATCCGAAAAAAAATTGTTCCAAATCGGTGCTTAATGGACTTATCATTTGTGGAGAATAGGATCAATAGACTTCATTATCGGTGAAGAATAGCCTCGGCCTGATTCCGTGATCTTTAGCCCCCAGAATCGAAAGAAAATGGCATTTCGGAAAAATCGCTCAAAATCTGTGATGGTCCCCCTTTGCAATCTGCCAAAAATTGACCCAGAATAAATCCACCCAAATCGGTGCTTAATAGACTTAATCATCATTGAAGAATAGTTTTAGGCCGAATCAGTGATATGTAGTCTTCAAAATCCAAAGAAAATGGCCTGTCGACGCCCACAAAATTACGAAAATGCCATCCGAAAATAAATTGCCCCAAATCGTTGATTAATGGACATATCATTTGTGGAGAAAAAGATCAATAGACTTCATTATCGGTGGAGAATAGCCTCGGCATGATTCCGTGATCTGCAGCCTCCATAATTGAAAGAAAATTGAATTTCGGAAAAATCGCCCAAAACCTGTGATGGTACCCTGGCAATCTGCCAAAAATTGACCAGGAATAAATCCGCCCAAATCGGTTATTAATGGACTTAACGATCGTTGAAGAATAGTGTCAGGCCGAATCCGTGATCTGTAGCCTTCAAAATCCAAAGAAAATGGCTTGTCGACGCCCGCAAAATTACGAAAATGCCATCCGAAAATAAATTGTCCCAAATCGTTGCTTAACGGACTTATCATTTGTGGAGAATAGGATCAATAGACTTCATTATTGGTGGAGAATAGCCTCGGCCTAATTCCGTGATCTGTAGCCTCCAGAATAGAAAGTAAATGGCATTTCGAAAAAATCGCCCAAAACCAGAGATGGTACCCCTTTGCAATCTGCCAAAAATTAACCCGGAATAAATCCACCCAAATCAGTGCTTAATGGACTTAATCATCATTGAAGAATAGTCTCAGGCCAAATCTGTGATCTGTAGTCTTCAAAATCCAAAGAAAATGGCCTGTCGACGCCCACAAAATTACGAAAATGCCATCCGAAAATAAATTGTCCCAAATCGTTGATTAATGGACTTATCATTTGTGGAGAATAGGATTAATAGACTTCATTATCGGTGGAGAATAGCCTCAGCTTGATTTCGTGATCTTTAGCCTCCAGAATCGAAAGAAAATGACATTTCGGAAAAATCAATCAAAATCTGTGATGGGTACCCTTTGCAATCTGCCAAAAATTGACCCGGAATAAATCCACCCTAATCGGTGCATAATGGAATTAATCATCATTGAAGAATAGTCTCAGGCCAAATCTGTGATCTGTAGTCTTCAAAATCCAAAGAAAATGGCCTGTCGACGCCCACAAAATTACGAAAATGCCATCCGAAAATAAATTGTCCAAAATCGGTGCTTAATGGACCTATCATTTGTACAGAATATGATCAATGGACTTCATTATCGGTGGAGAATAGCCTCGGCCTGATTCTGTGATCTGTAGCCTCCAGAATCGAAAGAAAATGGCATTTCGGAAAAATCGCCCAAAATCAGTGATGGTACCCCTTTGCAATCTGCCAAAAATTGACCCGGAATAAATCCGCCCAAATCGGTGCTTAATGGACTTAATCATCGTTGAAGAATAGTCTCAGGCCGAATCCGTGATCTGTAGCCTTCAAAATCCAAAGAAAATGGCCTGTCGACGCCCACAAAATTACGAAAATGTCATCCGAAAATAAATTGTCCCAAATCGGTGCTTAATGGACTTATCATTTGTGGAGAAGAGGATCAATAGACTTCATTATTCGAGGAGAATAGCCTCGGCCTGATTCCGTGATCTGTATCCTCCATAATCGAAAGAAAATAGCATTTTGGAAAAATCGCACAAAATCTGTGATGGTACCCCTTTACAATCTGCCAAAAATTGACTGGGAATAAATCTGCCCAAATCTGTGCTTAATGGACTTAATCATCATTGAAGAATAGTCTCAGGCCGAATCCATGATCTGTAGCCTTCAAAATCCAAAGAAAATCTCCTGTCGACGGCAACAAAATTACGAAAATGCCATTCGAAAATAAATTGTCCCAAATTGGTGCTTAATGGACTTATCATTTGTACAGAATAGGATCAATAGATTTCATTATCGGTGGAGAATAGCCTCGGCCTGATTCTGTGATCTATAGCCTCCAGAATCGAAAGAAAATTGCATTTCGGAAAAATCGCCCGAAATCTGTGACGGTACCCCTTTGCAATCTGCCAAAAATTGACCCGGAATAAATTCGCCCAAATCGGTGCTTAATGGACTTAATCATCGTTGAAGAATAGTCACTACAACAAATTCGACCTATTAGGACAAAAAATTTATTTTGTCATTTTCTATTTGTCACAATAGGTACGATGATATGACAAAAATAAAATATGTCCTATTTGGTATGCCTAATGTGACAAAATAAATGTTGTCAGAATAAGTCGTCATTTAAAGTGAGTAATGTGACAAATATTTTGTGTCACAATTAATTTTGTCAAAATAGGCGTCTCATATCGGGATATAAGAGACTCAACCGTGACAAATTTCTTGTTGTCAGAATATTTCGTCATTTAAAGTGAGTAATATGACAAATATTTTGTGTCACAATTCAGTTTGTCAAATTATGCATTCCTGAATTATTTCAATGACAAAGTATTTTGTCACAATTGATAGCAATAATCCAACGGCGAGCTGACAAAAGGGCATGTTCATCATAATATAGTGGTTTCGGCTTTGACAAAAGGCATGTTCGTCATAATATAGTGATTTCGTTTTTGACAAAAGACATTTTCGTCATATTTGCTTGTTGAACTCACACAAATCCCATTCCCCACCCAAAATTTGACCATACCCCGCCTAAATTACAGCCATGTCCCGCCCAAAAAATTTCACCAAGCCCGCCCACATTTTCTCTGTAATTGAAAATTTCAAATCATGCACCCACCCGCCTGCCCCTAATACCTATTTAATTTATTGATTCTTTTTCCACTTCTTCTCTTTATCAGTGTTATTATAAACTGAAACATAAAAAATAAAAAAATAAAAAACATCGGGCTCATTGAACCCTAATTCCATTTCGTGAGGAACCGGAGAAGAGCTCTAAAAGCTCCACCCCAAAACCCCGCCCAAATTAAGCTAAAACGCAGTCGCTTAACAATGTTGAGAGAAAAAAAAAACCCCAATTTGGAAAGGGCTTGGGCCTCGGGCTAGCTTTGTCAAGAGACAAGAGGAGGGATTCAGAAATCAGAACCCTACTTCATCTTCTTATCCAATAGCAGCCGCTCTCCCGCTCGGCGCCACCTTCATCTTCCAGTTCAATCATCGTCGGCTACCTCCACTTTTCTCGTCTCCCCCTCACCGCCTTTCTAACTGATGAGTGTGTCTAACTGGGCAGAATTTTCGAAGCAGCCTATAAAACCAAAACCATAATCTCCGACGCAAGGAATTCATGTTCTGATCCCAAAATTTCCCAGCTTTCGCCTAGCCGATAATGGAAGACCACTTGATCAAACTCCACCGACGTCTCTTCGAATCCAGCAGCTCGTCCTCCGATTTCCTGCACTCCCTCCGCTCGGACACTTCCATCGCCATCGCCCTCCAGCACTTCTACTTGATTCTCAAGCGGGGTGTCTCCGTCGTCGTCGAAGAAGAAGAGCATGACGATGACGATAGTGTCAAGGATAAGAAGTTAGGGTTCCAATTATGGACGAATTCACAGATCCAGTCCGTCGTATCGTTCGGCCTCGCGATCGTCTCTGCTTCTAGATCTTTTTCAGGTACTTTCCCCCCCCCCCTTTTTGAAGACAGAGCGGAAGTAACTGCTTTCAAGTTCAAGGAGTTTCTTGTTCTTGCATGGAGGCTTTTGGTTGTTCTGGCTAGGCTAAGAAAGCACTGCCAATTTTGTGTTTGAGCGCCCAAGTAGTTAACTAGTTACTGATTGGTATTATTTCTTCAATTCTTGGTGGTGATCGCGTGGATAGTTAACCAGGCAAAGCCAATAGTGATCGTTGCTGTGCAACAATTGTTGGAGTTCGCCGTTTCTTACTTGGAGAAATCAGAATTCTGCAATGACGAATCAAGTATACAGGTTGGTTGTTTTCATTTTGGTTCTTATATTCTTTCTCGGTTTCTTGATTCCCTACTTTGCGACTCTATAGCTATTCTTTAGGAAGCCTTGAATTGAGAGCATTGGCCGAATATAATCAGTGGCTAATTCGATATAATATTTCCGTTTCCGACTGGTGCATTAAGACTTGGTGTGTAGGCTAGTTGAAAGCGCTTCTAAAGTGCACATTTGCAAGCGTGACTGAGACCAGGGAATCTGTAACGAATTGTACTTTTGAGCTGCATAAAATTTTAGTTCTTCAGAATTCTATAAACTGGGGACCGGCATTTGAATCAAGTCTATAGATGTCAAATGCATGCCCGATTTCTGCTTTCGTACATTGATCAAAATGTTTTCTGTGTTTTTTGTGCTGTAAAATTTATTAGAATTTAGGATTAGCAGCCTTTATCAAACACATTTAAAACTTCATATATTATTAAATACTTGTATATTTAAGAGCAGATAGTGTTAGGCCTTTAGATATGTTATCTGTATCTTAAATATATTGCAGACAATTTGTTTGCCACCATTTCTACTATCACAGTAGGTTTTGGTGCTTTGGACGGCTTAGCATTAGAAGATAATACTTTGCAGTCAGTTGAAGATGCAGGGTAACTGTAATGCTATCATGGCATTCTTGTCCGTTCGACCAGAGCTTCGTTGTTCTCATGAGAAGTCCAAGAGGATCAAGCTCATCACCGTATCATTATTGACTTGAGGAGCCAGTCATGAGATTATTTAGAAGGTCCTGAAGAAAAAGGTGAAGTATGGACCAAAGGAGAACCCAAGATCCGCAAAGGAGTTAGAATGTTTTGTGTCATAGTGGACAACTTAGAATGTTTGGTTATGTTGAACAAGGAGTTAGAATGTCATGGAAATGGTTGTAATGTTTTGGATCTTTGATTATCTTTCCGTTATCAGGTTGCAATGCAGCAATCAATTTCGAATTATAAATTTTTTGAAGTAGGTCAAATGTGACAACAACGTCATGTCGTCACATTATGTACATTGCTTGACAAATTGTTCTCTTGTCATATTAGACATGAGACAGTTAAACACCTTTCCTAACAACCTATAGTTGTCATAATATGCAGTTAGGACAAAGTATATTCATCATAATATTCAGTTATGACAAAATAATGTTGTCACAATAAACACTTGTGACAAAATGTAGTCGTCACAATATACATTTATGACAAAATATAACCGTGTAATATGACGAAAATTCTCCCCAAAATCACTAGATTATGACAAACATAATGACAAAATATGTCGTCATAACACCTTTTTTTGTCACAATAGACTACCCAGAACCTCAGCTATACTGAAAGCAAATGTGACAACCTTGTTTTATATTTTTGTCACATTTGACCTATCTTGACGGCGATAAAATGACAAACCTTTGTGACAACAGCTCTTGTCATATTGTACCTAATATGACAAAAATGGTATCTAATATGACAAAATTATCTCGTCATAATAAGCCGAATTTGTTGTAGTGAGTCTCAGGCCGAATCCGTGATATGTAGCCTTCAAAATCCAAAGAAAATGAAAGTCCACGCCCACAAAATTACGAAAATGTCATCCGAAAATAAATTTTCCCAAATCGATGCTTAATGGACTTATCATTTGTGGAGAATAGGATCAATAGACTTCATTATTCGAGGAGAATAGCTTCGGCCTGATTCCGTGATCTGTAGCCTCCAGAATCGAAAAAAATAGCATTTCGGAAAAATCGCCCAAAATCTGTGATGGTACCCCTTTGCAATCTGCCAAAAATTGACTCGGAATAAATCCGCCCAAATCGGTGCTTAATGGACTTAATCATCGTTGAAGAATAGTCTCAGGCCGAATCCATGATTTGTAGCCTTCAAAATCCAAAGAAAATGGCCTGTCGACGCCCACAAAATTACGAAAATGCCATCCGAAAATAAATTATCCCAAATCGGGGCTTAATGGACTTATCATTTGTGGAGAATAGGATCAATAGACTTCATTATCGGTGGAGAATAGCCTCGGCATGATTCCGTGATCTGTAGCCTCCAGAATCGAAAGAAAATGGCATTTCGGAAAAATTGCCTAAAACCTGTGATGGTACCCCTTTGCAATCTGCCAAAAATTGACCCCGGAATAAATCCGCCCAAATAGATGCTTAATGGACTTAATCTTCGTTGAAGAATAGTCTCAGGCCGAATCCGTGATCTGTAGTCTTAAAAATCCAAAGAAAATGGCTTGTCGACGCCCACAAATTTACGAAAATGCCATGCGAAAATAAATTGTCCCAACTCGGTGCTTAATTGACTTATCATTTGTGGAGATTAGGATCAATAGACTTCATTATCGGTGGTGAATAGCCTCGGCCTGATTCCGTGATCTGTAGCCTCCAGAATCGAAAGAAAATGGCATTTCGGAAAAAAGGCCCAAAATCTGTGATGGTACCCCCTTTGCAATCTGCCAAAAATTGACCCGGAACAAATCCGCCCAAATTGGTGCTTAATGGACTTAATCATCGTTGAAGAATAGTCTCAGTCCTAATCCGTGATCTGTAGCCTTCAAAATCCAAAGAAAATGGCATGTCGACACTCACAAAATTACGAAAATGCCATCCGAAAATAAATTGTCCCAAATCGTTGCTTAATGGACTTATCATTTGTGGAGAATAGGATCAATAGACTTCATTATCGGTGGAGAATAGCCTCGGCCTGATTCCGTGATCTGCAGCCTCTAGAATCGAAAGAAAATGGCATTTCGGAAAAAAAGCCCAAAATCTGTGATGGTACCCCTTTGCAATCTGCCAGAAATTGATCCGGAATAAATCCACCCAAATCGGTGCTTAATGGACTTAATCATCATTGAAGAATAGTCTCAGGCCGAATCTGTGATCTGTAGTCTTCAAAATCCAAAGAAAATGGCCTGTCGACGCCCACAAAATTACGAAAATGCCATCCGAAAATAAATTGTCCCAAATCGTTGATTAATGGACTTATCATTTGTGGAGAATAGGATCAATAGACTTCATTATCGGTGGAGAATAGCCTCGGCATGATTCCGTGATCTGTAGCCTCCAGAATCGAAAGAAAATGGCATTTCGGAAAAATTGCCTAAAACCTGTGATGGTACCCCTTTGCAATCTGCCAAAAATTGACCCCGGAATAAATCCGCCCAAATAGATGCTTAATGGACTTAATCTTCGTTGAAGAATAGTCTCAGGCCGAATCCGTGATCTGTAGTCTTAAAAATCCAAAGAAAATGGCCTGTCGACGCCCACAAATTTACGAAAATGCCATGCGAAAATAAATTGTCCCAACTCGGTGCTTAATTGACTTATCATTTGTGGAGATTAGGATCAATAGACTTCATTATCGGTGGTGAATAGCCTCGGCCTGATTCCGTGATCTGTAGCCTCCAGAATCGAAAGAAAATGGCATTTCGGAAAAAAGGCCCAAAATCTGTGATGGTACCCCCTTTGCAATCTGCCAAAAATTGACCTGGAACAAATCCGCCAAAATCGGTGCTTAATGGACTTAATCATCGTTGAAGAATAGTCTCAGTCCTAATCCGTGATATGTAGCCTTCAAAATCCAAAGAAAATGGCATGTCGACACTCACAAAATTACGAAAATGCCATCCGAAAATAAATTGTCCCAAATCGTTGCTTAATGGACTTATCATTTGTGGAGAATAGGATCAATAGACTTCATTATCGGTGGAGAATAGCCTCGGCCTGATTCCGTGATCTGCAGCCTCTAGAATCGAAAGAAAATGGCATTTCGGAAAAAAGACCCAAAATCTGTGATGGTACCCCCTTTGCAATCTGCCAAAAATTGACCCGGAACAAATCCGCCAAAATCGGTGCTTAATGGACTTAATCATCGTTGAAGAATAGTCTCAGTCCTAATCCGTGATCTGTAGCCTTCAAAATCCAAAGAAAATGGCATGTCGACACCCACAAAATTACGAAAATGCCATCCGAAAATAAATTGTCCCAAATCGGTACTAAATGGACTTATCATTTGTGGATAATAGGATCAATAGACTTCATTATCTGTGGAGAATAACCTCGGCCATATTCCGTGATCTTTAGCCTCCAGAATCGAAAGAAAATGACATTTCGGAAAAATCGCTCAAAATCTGTGATGCTACCCCTTTGCAATCTGCCAAAAATTGACCCCGGAATAAATCCGCCCAAATAGATGCTTAATGGACTTAATCTTCGTTGAAGAATAGTCTCAGGCCGAATCCATGATCTGTAGTCTTCAAAATCCAAAGAAAATGGCCTGTGGACGCCCACAAATTTATGAAAATGCCATGCGAAAATAAATTGTCCCAAATCGGTGCTTAATTGACTTATCATTTGTGGAGATTAGGATCAATAGACTTCATTATCGGTGGAGAATAGCCTCGGCCTGATTCCGTGATCTGTAGCCTCCAGAATGGAAAGAAAATGGCATTTCGGAAAAATTGCCCAAAACCTGTGATGGTACCCCTTTGCAATCTGCCAAAAATTGACCCGGAATAAATCCGCCCAAATCGGTGCTTAAAGGACTTAATCATTGAATAAAAGTCTCAAGCCGAATCCGTGATCTGTAGCCTTCAAAATCCAAAGAAAACGGCCTGTCGACGCCCACAAAATTACGAAAATGCCATCCGAAAATAAATTGTCCCAAATCGGTGCTTAATGGACTTATCATTTGTGGAGAATAGGATCAATAGACTTCATTATTCGAGGAGAATAGCCTCGGCCTGATTCCGTGATCTGTATCCTCCAGAATCGAAAGAAAATAGCATTTTGGAAAAATCGCCCAAAATCTGTGATGGTACCCCTTTGCAATCTGCCAAAAATTGACTGGGAATAAATATGCCCAAATCGGTGCTTAATGGACTTAATCATCATTGAAGAATAGTCTCAGGCCGAATCCATGATCTGTAGCCTTCAAAATCCAAAGAAAATCTCCTGTCGACGCCAAAAAAATTACGAAAATGCCATTCGAAAATAAATTGTCCCAAATTGGTGCTTAATGGACTTATCATTTGTACAGAATAGGATCAATAGAGTTCATTATCGGTGGAGAATAGCCTCGGCCTGATTCTGTGATCTATAGCCTCCAGAATCGAAAGAAAATTGCATTTCGGAAAAATCGCCCGAAATCTGTGATGGTACCCCTTTGCAATCTGCCAAAAATTGACCTGGAATAAATTCGCCCAAATCGGTGCTTAATGGACGTAATCATCGTTGAAGAATAGTCTCAGGCCGAATCCGTGATCTGTAGCCTTCAAAATCCAAAGAAAATGGCCTGTCGACGCCCACAAAATTACGAAAATGCCATCCGAAAATAAATTTTCCCAAATCGATGCTTAATGGACTTATCATTTGTGGAGAATAGGATCAATAGACTTAATTATTCGAGGAGAATAGCCTCGGCCTGATTCCGTGATCTGTAGCTCAAGAATCGAAAAAAATAGCATTTTGGAAAAATCGCCCGAAATCTGTGATGGTACCCCTTTGCAATCTGCCAAAAATTGACTCGGAATAAATCCGCCCAAATCGGTGCTTAATGGACTTAATCATCGTTGAAGAATAGTCTCAGGCCGAATCCATGATTTGTAGCCTTCAA